TTATGTAATAGAAAATATATATCTACATGGTTTACAAGAGAGCTCTGCCATATATGATGGTCCTGTCTGATTACGTATTTGTATCTATTACATGACAACTTGAAGTTCCTTCTTATTTGGGAATAGCGCAGGCGCTATCTTATAAATTCTTTATTCTTGTACATTTAGATCACATTTTCTAGGAATAGATTAGATTAGATTTGTATTATAGTCCTAACTGAGTCAATGACTATTGAGGACTCCTAGAATCTACAAATGAGATACTAGCCACATAATTTAAGTTCCAACTGTTTAAACTTACTTCTAGGAATAGAGGAATAAGAGAAAGAAAGATATACCGAAAAATAAGTTCTTGTTACAACCAAATTGTAGTGTAATCATCACCGCAGAAACGTTTGCTTACAGGTCCTTGCTGCAATTCGCACAGGATACTCTTCCTTAGATAGTACCAAGTCGAGTGAGGACCAGCGCACTCTCCCATCTGGTTACCTTACAACATGACACCTACGTTTATCCCCATTAGCTGCAGTTGCAACACTGCTTTAACTTTTTATCGTGGGACAACACCTGTGCCGAGTAGAGAATTTTGAGGGAAAACGCGTTGATGATGATAGATCGACTTACTAAACGGTATGAAGAGAAAATAGATCAATAGCTAATACTAATAGGTACTTATATCAATTAATCCACTTCGTGAATCTGCTGACTGATGACTCTCTACTAGGCCTAATTGTTGGTATAAATGTCATGGCCTCACTTTCCAATATTAGTCATAGATTATTCATCGGTCATTATGAGTATTTGCATCGTTTTGTAGAATAGGAGAATAGACAAGATCCACCAACACAACCGCAGAAACGTGACATACAGTTTACGTTCTTTGCACCGTGTTTAAGTATCCCGACACTAATACTTGCTACTAAGCCACGTATTACCATGAGTCATCACACTATGCCGTTTTTTCGACCTTTTGATCAGTAGTGCTATTCCATCCATCTGTCTATCCCTCCAAATTCAGTCTTGTCTTAGTTATTCTCAACAGAACGTTTAGGTTTCCACCTAAGCTCAAAAAACGGTCAAACCGTCATAAGCATGGTATTAAGGACATTGCCGCATTGGTTCACCTATTCTTGTAAGGCATATGTGGGGAGGCTCAGTATAATTTACCCTCTTTCATAGCCATTTTCCGTAGGCTGCTCGAGCTTAATTCCACCGTGAACCCAATTTTTTATGGTTAATCCTGCAATCCAAAGTCTCATAGACGTCTCGATCTCCCTAATCAGAGTCGAGTTGTTAGCGATTATAATTCATAAGATTTTTGTTCTTAGCGGGACCCTAGAAACCTCTACAAGAAAACCTTAGCGCAGGACCGAAAAGTACTTTGTTTCCATCAAGTTTAGAGCTGAGTTTCTTTGGTTCGTCGATTGAACAAATATCTAGGTATTGTTAATCCTCATCCATAAGACTGCGTAGGTCCCTGGTATATGTTCCTGTGCCCTTAAAAGCATTTCTGCCAGTTGCATGCTTCCTAATCTTCAACACGTATTCGCACCGTTCTCTTAGCCATCAGCGGCGTGGCTACTGATGCGTTATTTGTCGGTGCCAGCGACGCTAAAGTTGTTGGTAGAAACACCTTGCGAGCGATGTCCACGAGAATCTTCTTGACTACCTCTTCCAAAGCCAACTTATTTTTATCAAGGAGAAATTTCATCGTCTACAGTTCCATCCAAACCTTGTTTTCTGTGGTAAACGGCCTCATGGCCTCTGCGATGTCTTCGCTGTGACGTTTATATCATCATTAAATCTCGAGTAAAGAATCCTGAGTTTCTTTACAAGTTGCCTTTAAATTTCTAGGTTCTTATCCATTGTTGCTGTGTGGCCTTCATCGCCTATAGTTGAATTTGCCATTGTCGCAGTTTGGGAGGCATTGCGGCCGCTGTATTTCGGCAGAACAGATGGTTTAATGAGATCAGGTTGGACGAAGGAATAGATGGTGATTTCGAGGTCTTATTGATGAGATAGGCGGTGGGGAGTGCTGTAAAGATCTTCATACAAAGTGATATTTTTACATTGTTTTTTTTGAGGACATAATGACCCCTCAGTCATTGAGGTTGTAGAGCGCATTGATCCAATTAACTACCGAAGTGAAATTAAGTTCAGAATCACGAACCTGGGAGTGAAATATTCTCTCAGAGCCAAGTTCAGTCAAATTTTGCAATACCGAACAAGTTGGCCCACGAGGCAGTGATTCAAACTACTCCACCACGTCAAATTTTCACTCCCAAAGAGTTCGAATCCTATCCAAGCCTCATCAAGTTTACAAGTACGTCCTAATTCATCCTTATTCCAATGATCACACTTCTCGTCGACTTTCTCTGGCCTCAGCCGGTCACCAAATAGACGCCCACGCCGATATTTACACCCGACGGAGGACACAAAGCGTAGCGCACAAATCCGGGAGACAGCTCATTGGGATTGGCGTGAGAGGATTAAGGACAAGTTGAAAAGATGATGCGAAGGATCGATACAGTGTCGACGGGCATGGAATTTTGAACGTTGTCAAGAAGTTTTAACAAATTTAGCTTTGTGCGTGCCAAGACTTCGGTTGCGAGAGTGCAGGCGACACTATAAACACCGCCATGGTTGGATGGTGCAGTGGTACATCGTCTTGGCCGGTCTGCCAAGTAAGGTCTGGATAGCTTGGACACATATCCCACTTGAGACAGTAAATCGCCGGTTCAATTCCGGCAAGACACAACCACATTTCTCGCGGCGCTGGTATGCATGGATGACGAAGGCATGCTTGGATAACCAAAGGTTTGAAACGTCCCTTTGGTGGGTACTTAAGGAGGAGGGTCAACTGTTTGTGTAAGCGAACATACCTCATAGTGGTATTTGCGTATGAAATCCAGAGTATGAGTGTCTCTAACGTCAAAAGAGTCATCCAACATGTATACATAGCACCGATCGCGTGTCATAGCTAGATAGCTGAATATACTTAAATGATTAAAAAAACAAAAATAAGTTCAGAATTTGTAGTCACGTGTGTGTCAACAACGTGGCCTACTTGATAGCCCCAATGATTCTATTTTGTAAAGGATTTTGTATATGAATGAATGAAAGTTTATTCGTGACGAGCACAAGCCCTGCACTCAAAGAGTATGACACGGAGAAGACTAGCTTCTCCGACGACTATTTACGACAATAACTCAGTTTGACATTTGGACTACTCATGTAGTGGATGCATTCGCTGATACCACTCGAGACCTTGGTGCTAGGGACTTTCACCCTTCTCTCATCCGTTAATTTCCGCCAAAGAGGAAACAGGAATAACATTTTACTACCCTAGCGTGCCTTTGTCATGGAGGGCAAGACTGAACACCTGTACGCGGTGTCCTCTATGAACCTGGAAGTGAAATATTCTCCCAGAGCCAAGTTCAGTCAAATTTCGCAATATCAAAGAAGTTGGTCCACGAGGCAAAGTTTAAAATTACTCCACCACGTCGTTTTTCCGCTCCTAACGAGTTTGACGCCTACCTAAGTCTCATCAAGTCTACAAGTACGACCTAGTACACCCTCATCCCAATGACCACACCACTCTTCGACCTTCTCTGGTCTCAGTTGACCACCAAATACACGCCGACGCCGATATTTATACCCGACGTAGGAAGCAAAGCGTGGCGCACAAATCTGGAAGACAGTTATTTGGGATGGACGTGAGAGGGATCAGGACAAGTTTACAAGATGATGCAAAGGAAGGATATAACCATGGTGGGAGTGAAATTCCGAAATTTGGCAAGCAGTTTTACAAATAGTGCTTTGTGCGCGCCAAGACTTCGCTTGCGAGAGTGCAGTTGACACTATAAAAACAAGCAAGTGATGGAAGGTGTTATGGTCCGTCTCCTGGTGGTATTCTCCGGTATAGTCTGAGTAGCCTGGGCACCTACTCCACTTGGGAAAGAGATATCTCAGACCATATTTCGCACGGAGAAAAGTTGATGGATGACGGAGGCATGTCTGGATACCTCAGGGCTTTTCAGACGTTCCCCTGGGTGGTTATTCACGGATGAGGGTTGACTTGGGGTGAAGAAAAAGGCACCATAACTTCGCAGCGGTACTTGCAAATGAAATATGAGGCATGAGTTCTCTTCCTCTACGTTCAATCATCTATTCTGTACTTTTCTTTGATATTGTGTCATAGCTAGATAGCTGCATACGCAATTAAAATCTGATGCGAAAAAAAAAGCCTTTGTCATCTTGTATATAGCCGCCGCGCGAGATGTGGCCTCAAAGTCCTCCCTTTCTCAAGTGAGGTAGGTATCCAGGCTACCCAGACTTGAATTCGACAAGATGACGACCAGGAGGCGTACCAAAACTCCTTCCAACGTTGCCTGTTTTTAGAGTATCGGTTGCACTATCCGATATCGCTGCCTCTGCGCCCATAGACAGCCTTGAGGCGAATACACTCGAAAAATGTGCGTCCCAGCATGCCCATATGTGAACTCTTCACTCGTTCGTCCCACGTCCTACGTCTCAGCTGCCTTTCCTCCCTCAAAATGGGAAGCCCCATTAGAGCAACGGTCCCCCATAGACCAAGACGCGAGCTTTGTAGATTATCACTAAATTCCCTCCTCGCGGGCATACATAGCATCGTAATTTTGTAGTTGGAGATGGCCGGTTTTTTAATGAGGCAAAAGCCCGACTACAATTGAAGTAACGCCATTATCGGCATTTGAGGCGAGGTGGTATAGTAAGACCGGAGTGGAGGACTCGCGTGAGAATGATAGATCCGACATTGACGAGAAGTCATCGACTTTAGATATGCTTGAGGTTGCTTTCGACTTCGATTCGGATGCGACTCGTCTTGGCTGTCCCAGATATGCAGAGCATACTGAGCAATTACACCGGCATCACTGGAAGGTGAAGAATTCGTCTTTGCCGGCAGCTAAATAGCTGAGTTTACTGTGATTTATTTTAAAAAAAATAAAAAAGAGCCGCCGATGTTCAACACCACATCGAGATTGCACCCTTCGCGTTCCTCGATCACAATCCAATCGGCTAAGGGTCCCACTCAATCCCTAATGTATTCTGATAGCTCACTTTGCAATGTATTATTGATCGTTACAATATCTGGAGTATGGGGAATGTCATGTATTTAAGGAGGAGTTACAAAGTTAATAGAAATACAAGTTTACACCCAGTCTCAAGTTCTACACATATAAATATTGTCATGATCGGCGTCACGAGACACCCTTGAATCTCATAGACAACACTTATCATTTTATTCTTGTTTACGTGCACAAGAAACTTCATCTGTTTATCGAATTATGATGAGTCCAGCAGCCCAGAATCAAAAGAAAAGAAAAACATAAACCGTCAAACTTCTAACTTTAAGCCTCGATATAAGCCCCTCACCTACGTGCCATATTCTTTGGCTATAAGACTACATCCTCAAATTCAGAGGTATCACCACTGTTCCCCTACCAGACACCACGTATATTCCGATCTTCTGGACGTACTCTTAGCCCTGGCACCCTCCGCTTTGGAGTCGCCATTACTCTTCTACAATAGAACGGGTGAAATGCTGAGGTTTCCCTGCCATATCTGCAGAGAAGTGAGGTTGTTATATGATTAATTCGACGGTGATATGCCGCGAAGTCACCATGTTCAGTTCCCGCAACGATTACGCGAGCGCCGACTGCGCGGGGAAAACGCCGGTTCTGGCGATTTCTTGCTTCTTAATTTGAGTCTAAAGCCAGCGTAACGTCCAGTTCGATTTGAGTACCACCAGCTGTTTGGAATGGAGATCATAGTGGTTTGGACCTATGGGCCCGCCATTTCGTCTAAGTTCCCGACACAATCTTATGTGTAGTTGAGAGGTTGGAATGTGCAACATGGTAGCGCTTCAGTCTAACTAATGGATACATGGGAGACTAAATGGTGTGGGCACGAGGAGTATATTGGGGGGTTCCTATGCCTTCATAGCGCCACAATCATTTAAACTGTGGCTTAGGCTCTATGTCGCTTACACTTGTACTCACAGCGCACGTTCCCCACTCTTTTAATCAGATTTTTTATCGTTCTAGGAATAACGTGCCCATATCATTGCGCGATGTTTCGGACAGATTAAGAGGGAGAATACTAGTCTGGGGGACAGCACAATATATGCAAGATCCTTGCTAACGCACGAATTCTGAGAACCTAATGAGGTAATATATTTGCGCACAGCTTCGCAATCAACATGGACTCCACTCCTGTTAACGGCGGCGGAAAACAAAGTTCAAATCCATCCAAAGAATTTCCGAACCCAAAGAAACCCAGCGGAATTAGACACCCGACCGTCTATGATGCAGTTGCCGGTAAATATATACAGCTCACGCGTGATTCTCAAATAGCTGACCGGGCGCAGGACGCATATCGGTAACAGGATTCATCCCCAGTAAACCTTTGATCTCATGCAGTCGAGATACATCTCGTTCCTCGAGAACCGCGCTTCCCCCAGAACAAGTACTTTTTCGAAGCAGGAAGGCGCCTACGCGATTCGCTGAGTGTGACATATACTTTTCCAACGAGCGGCACGATACCTCTGACTTACCAAGTTCGGATCTGCTCAAAGCACTGCATAGTTATTCGTCCAACTATTACTCAAAAGCTACGGCAGATAGAGGCGTGGATGACTGGCAGAGCTTGGATGGGTCTGCCCTGCTGGCCTTGGGGATATTGGCAGAAGAGCTAATGCGGGAAAGCGTCGGAAGCACGGGCGATTTAGCTCTGGCCGAGGGCGATGGGATGTGTGGAGTATTGGAATCATCGTCAAACCAGACATCTATATCTCGATCTGAGCCAGCCAAAAAGAAGCGGAGGCTGGACATAATTTCGGACTTTGACTCGGACTAACGATCGCAACCACATGGAGCAACCCTACAAATCTCTACACGTTGTCATTCCGCCCCTTTACATCTAGTGGTAGCTGTGAATCGGCGTCAGATGATGAGCGATGATTGTTTCTGTCGGGTCTTTTTTTTAAAATTGTTTGGAATGTATTCAGCTACAAAGCTATGATAAAAGTCAGGGTCTCATATACATGTTAGATGCCATTTTTTGGTTTTGGAAACACTTATACTCTGGATTCATTCGTAAATACCATGCCGTGGTATGATTACTCACACGGAACGGTCGATTCTCCACAGTGAGTGCCCACGTATGGGAAGTTACGAATCATTTGACTTTATGAGAATATCTTTGTTATCTATGCTCACGAGTACCTCGAGAATGAAGCCGAATAGTTTTTTGTTGCATTGGATTCTAAATGCATATGTAGCTATCAAGCTATATCGCAGTATCAGAGATAAATTAGAGATTAGACTTCTATATTTAAATAGAGAGCACTCAAACACCAGTTTTCCTTTGCAAGCACCACTGCAAAATTATGACGGCTGTATTTAATCCCAAGTCAGCCCTCATCCGTGAATTCTCACCCAGCGAAAGTTCTCGAAATACTGAGTTATACAGACATTTCTCCATCACCTATAGACTTATCTCTGCTAGAGAAATAGTCTGAAATACCTTCTTCCCAAGAAGAGTGGCAAAATTTTGCGGAACTCGAACCAGTCGTCATCTGTCTCAAGTGGAACATGTATCATAGCCATCTGGACGATGCAAAAACAGCTGTGTACACTACTTGAAAGACCGTCCCGGATGATGTACCACTACACCACCCAACCATATCAGTGTTTATAGTGTCGCCTACATTCTCCCAACTGAAGTCGGGTATAGCACAATGTTCAAAATGATGAACTACCCTCCAAAAATCGAGATTATACCCCTTCTGAAATTTTTTATCTTTGTATGTTGCTATTGAGTCTATGATTATATAAAGATGTGTAGGTTCTTTCTGCCTAAAGACCGCGAGTCTCTATGGCTCGGGAAGTGTACTGTCTCCTTTGCCATTTCACAGCTTCCTTTCAGTGGTAATACTCCCGTCGGACTTGATTTGAATCCATACTGAGAAGAGCCGCAATCCATTCGCAATCTCCTTTCCTCAGCCAACGAAACGCTGGTCACTTGCGGGTGTATGGTGGCCGGGAATATTTGCAAAAACCACTGGGTGCGGAGCTCTCCTAATACCAACATCAGAACTAGATCCTAAGATATAGCCACCATTTTGAAGCGTGTGAGGGGACCGGCCAGTCAGACGCAGCAGGCCTGTGTATACCTAAGAGTGTTTCTCAACCTTCCTGGTCTCTCACGTCCATCTCGAAGACCTGTCTCCTAAATTTGTACGCCGCGATTTTCTCTGTCGCCCCATAAAGCTCCTTACAAGTATATGTGTAGTAATGTGAGAATCACACGGCGAGCACATGAAGAGATCGCTATGAATACGCTAGCCAGGCCACCCACTCTAGCTATGATTTCTGCGATTTTCCCGGGCTTCTATATATCCACCAACGAACTTTGTTTTATTAGCTGAAGAAGGGAGATTGCGGATGGATAACGACTCTTCTCAGTATGGATTCAAATCAAGTCTGATGGGAGTATTACCACTGAAAGGAAGCTGTGAAATGGCAAAGGAGACAGTACACTTCCCGTGCCATAGAGACTCGCGGCCTTTAGGCAGTTAGGACCTACATGCCCTGATATAGTCATAGGCTCAGTAATCCAATAATCTGATACGTGAAAAAATGAGCGACCGTAAATCCATTTTGTAGTCCACATCTAAGTCTCTATGAAGTAGTTTAAAGCGCTTCGTTGTCTTTGGTCTTGTTACGTGCGTTGGCAAGCTGCGAAAATGATGGCAAATATACGTTCTCAGCTATTCCATTTTAAGAATTAAAGGGATATTTAGCATGTCTGGGGGCGCTCTTAGTTAAAGAGAGAGAGAGAGAGAGATGTGTGTTTATTGTACTGCTCGAGTCATGGACTATCTAGTACATTGAGCTCCTCTCTAGCCCAGGCCACACCTTGTACAGTGCTGCTTGCCTCTCATGTATCTTGAAAGATCATTTGTGTATTGCCTGTGATGAATAGCCATTCAGCTCAGTGTTTTCCCGTGGAATTCGGTCACCTTTTCCACAGAACCTTTGTTCGGATTAGGTCCTGGTCAACGATGTCTAGCCTAATTGTGCTACATTTCAGGCTACTGTTCTAATTATTCATAGGGTCATCATCAGGGTTGTAAGTAGTTTCGGTTTTGGTGTGGGTTGTTAGATTGATACCTGAGCGTGTCGCATAGTAGTCAGACATGCGACTCAAGTAGCATGTGCACGGTAAACCTCAACCCCAAATTGATGATACGAATAAGGTTTTACATGCTACGTCCTGTATAGATAGCGTGGTTGGAATATGGGGAATTTACCTGTAGATAGATAAAGACGTTGTAGCCCTCTGATAGTTGGGACAAGTCTTCTACAATATTATATCGGAATCAATACTAGCCTCTCATTAAGCAATCTCATGAATTATTTCCAGTGTCTGTGATAACACACACAAACACAAAGTCGACAACAACTTTAAAGTCGATAAACCTTCTACCCAAATAAATAAAAAAGGTAGCATGGAAACTGCGTGCGCGGGAAAAAGTCTCAAAAAACCTGCAGACGCAGCCAGGCGAGACCCAGACACAGGGACGACATTGGGTGCGCATATTCATCTCTATCTCCCTTCTTTGTAACATTCGAGGCCGACTTGATCCAATCCGCCATCGCCGTATCGGGTGCTGGGTACGCTCCGGAAACTCATCGGATGGCATCTCCTCCATGATCAAGGTTTGGTGATGAGTAGAGCTCCGACCCTACCATCGGATCTGATCGTGGTTAACTTCATGATAATGGGGATAGGGGGATGTTAGGAGAGATGAAGACGATACAGATTACGGAAGTGATTAGGAATCCTCATTAAAGTGAGGACTTTGTCCTTCAATCTCGGCTCTGCAGACTCTACAGCGAGAGCTGGAGGTTCGTAGGGGATACCACTGACAGGTGTTGAGAATAGTCCTCCTCTTACTCCTAAAGAATGGTACGACCGGAAGATTTTTTCAATGAGGCTAAAGGCTCCCCTTAAATGTTTGCTTGGGAAAAATAATCATTAGGTGGAAGTACTGTTCGAGGCGATGATGTGTCCATTTCATTTTCAACTTGACATCTCGATTCCCTCTCAATCTATGCAACATGCTGGAGGAATTTCAAACTACTTTTAAAATGTATGTCACGTAATTGTGTCTTTTTCCTTTCTAGACAATAGATACAAGTCCTGTTGTATACATGTTTATTAACGTGCTTGGCAATTCACATTCTCAGCACTCCTACGGGATTTTGAGTACGAGTAGGGCCGGCTTGACTCAGAGTAACTACCATTAAGTTCATATACCTCATTCCGCCTGTATGATCGGACTACCTCAGTCTTAAGCCATGTGTTGTGTTGGAAATATCGCGCAATGAAATGAGCGCAATATTCATGGAACGAAAGTAAAGGTTGACTAAAAGAGTGTCATGTTCGGATTACAGCTAAAAGTGTGGGAGATGTGCGCTACAAGTACAAGTGTGCATGAGTGCTCTTATTGTAAATTGAGTCATCTATCATACACTTCTCTGATATTGTGTCATAGCTAGATAGCTGCATACGCAATTAAAATCTGATGCAAAAAAAAATAAGTACAAGTGTAAGCGACACAGAGCCTAAGCCACAGCATAAACGAGTGTGGCGCCATCTAGGCATAGAAAAGCCCCAATAACCTCCTCGCGCCTACGCCATACAGCCGCTCATGTCTCCAATAGGTAGCCTGAAGCGCTACCATATTACCTACTCCAACCTCTTAAATACACACGAGATCGTGTCGGGAACCTAGATGAAATGGAGGGCCCGTACGTCCACAACACCCCGTCTCTCCATTTCCAACATGTTGAATATATTAAATCCAACCCTCCAGGAAATTCTTCCTCAGACTCGAAAACCATGCGCCGGAGCCCTTGAAACACTCCCATTCTTTCATTTTCCTCTTCCTCAGAGCCCCAGTGTCTCATCTCGTCCGATGTGGTTGTCTTCATTGGAAATGTCTTCCAGTCACCCACCGTGGCTTCCTCTATCTGGCTTCCCTTTTGTTCCTTCATTGTGTTATTTTCTTGATCCATCTATCAACCTCTCCTTATTAGAAACCCAGAAAGTTGCCTGACTCTCCTACTTTTCTCAGTCACTGCCGTATCCCTAAATTTAGAAGCCAAATTTGTGGGTTGAAGCCCAAAGCCGAGGTACTGATGCCCCGGCTTTGTGGAATATGTAGGCTAAATAACGGCAGAATGTCTCTCCCATCTGATCGGTGACGATTCATCGCTGGTCAAGTAATTGACGTCCTTGGTCGAGACTTAAACGTATTTGATGCGGGTGCTCCAATTATACCTCGATTAAGGAAGAATATTCGGAAGGTCATTAGCAGTACAATTGCCTGGATAGTACTTTTGGCATTCGGTATCCAGAATTGCTCTGGTTTAAGTTGAAATACTTGTGGAGAAGGCTGCGAATAGAGGTTGTCCCGGGGACATCTCGCAGGCATATTTAGGATAAAGAATTTCATATTCTACTATGGACATTAGAAAGACTTGAGCCCATATACGCTTTGTACGTGAAGCAAATTATATTGATTTGCCGGGTACAAGCCTTGTATCCGCAAAATATCATACGGGCAGTTGTATTATGATATGAGGTCACCACGGGGTTTAACAGTGACTTTGTTTCTGGTATGTAAATATTACATTTGTAGGTGATTGATTATTGATGCTAGTTGAAACGATTCATAGTCCATCACGTACTGGAACATGTATTGTATAGAATAGATGGCTGTGTGCGTCTGCCTCAGGAACCTAAGACTAAATCTCAATTTCTCTCCCATGCCTCTTGCAGATTCC